CCCCGATACCCTTTTCAAAATGCCTGAAATGGGTTTACTCTGACATTTGCAGTATTTGGAATGGCATGGTATTAGAGCTTTATGGACACTCATTTGGGATGAACTGCATAGCTCATCACGTCAGCACTTATCCACTTTGCTCTGCGTTCTCTCTCTCGCTCAATTTGTTAGTGCCAGTTTTTCTTTAGAGCAGGGTTACTCAACACGCCACCCGCATGTGGGGGCCAAAACAAAAAAGGAGTCAACATAATGGTCTTCTGTTGATTTGCATTTTAGTTATTAAATTCCTGGACTGTCATTGCTCATTAAAAGTGCTGTCACATGGGTGGAAATCGGGTAACTTTTGCATTTTTATTAATATCAGCAGAACTGACTTCAATGGGGCCTGTGTGTTGTGTAGTCTTGCCTTCATCTTTGTATTCATGCCCATCAGTGTGAAAGAAGCTATTTGCATATATATTTGAATGTATATGCAACCACACTTAAGTTGTGGCCCTCGGCATGTGCTGCGAGTATCATATTGTCCCCCGGGGCTTCCAAAGTTGATTAGCCTTGCTTTAGAGTATTTGAGAGGGGATTGAAAATTGGAGGTGCCAAACTAAAATGAACCATAGAAAATGTTGAGGTTAGATTAGATCAGGGTTAGCCATTAACACTTTGTGACCAGTTATACTGAGTTTATATGTTCATTACACGGGGAAGATAAACTAACATAAGAACAGCCACACTGGGTGAGACCAAAGATCCATCTAGCCCAGTGTCCTGTCTGCCAACAGTGGCCAATGCCAGATGCCCCAGAGGGAGGGAACAACAGGTAATCCTCATGTGATTCCTCCCCTGTCACCCATTTCCAGACAAACAGAAGCTATGGACACCATCCCTACCCATCCTGGATAATGACCATTGGTGAACCTAACCTCCATGAATCTACCTAGCTCTTTTTTGAACCCTGTTAAAGTCCTAGCCTTCACCACATCCTCTGGCAAGGAGTTCCACAGGTTGACTATGTGCTAAGTGGAGAAAAACTTTCTTTTGTTTGTTTTAAACCTGCTGCCTATTAATTTGATTTGGTGACCCCAGTTCTTATATTGTGGGAATAAGTAAATAACTTTTCCCACACCAGTCATGATTTTATAGACCTCTATCATATCCCCCCTTTAGTTTTCTCTTGTCTCCTCTTGCGTATCTTGACGTACCTTAATTCAAGTTTTCTCACATCTCCACAGTGGGAGGTTGATGGGAGCAAACCCTCTTGTTGGCTTCCCTTACTCCTCGTGAGGAGCAGGAGTACTGGTGCTAATGGGAGCATCCTCTGAGTTCAACTTAGCAGGTCTTTACTAGACCTGCTAAATCAAACTCTGGAAGATCGATCACAGCAGCGTCGATTTTCCACGTAGTGAAGACATGGCCGAGGTAAAAAGTGCTACTTTGTGTCTAGACTAGGAACAAGGTAACTATTATTTCAGGTTTATATTATCATTTGTGAGCTAACCCTGATCCCTATTCCTTATTTAGACTGAGCCATTGACTTGTGTCTTAGATTTGCCTGAGGATGATAATGTTATTTAAACAGTTTCAGCTAGGTTTGGAAATTGTCA